TCAAGTGACCCAACCTCCATAATCACTTCCAATTGTTTTCCTACATTAAAGGCCCTTGTAAGTGAAGTATCTTCCCAGTCCTGATCAGATTTTAAGCCTCTGACGAGGGAGGGTCAGTTCCAGGCCACCTGATTTGCGTGAATCCAGCCACAGGGCCAATTGAGCAAGGTTAAATAATTTGCAGAGCCAGGACATGTGCTATCTTTCTGGAAACCTCTTGCCCTAGGTTATCAAAGTACATCAGAACAGAGGAAGCTGAGTGTGAAGCCCTAGTGACATTCAGAGTTCAGATGAGTGATAAGATGTTCACAACATACCTCTGCCAGTGTCATCCAAAGAGATGGGCCTTTGAGCTCTCCAAGCCCTCCCTAGGGCCCCCATTGACTTAGCACAATAACAGGATATTTGACTTAAGAGATATAATGAGCCTGGATAAGGCAATTAGGAGTAGTGGTTAAGATTTAACCAGCCATGTGACCTTGAAGGAGTGACTTAACTCTTAGACCCTCAGATAATGTTAATAGGAATAACATTATGTATCTCACAGGGTTGCTGTGAAGATCAAAAAAGATGTAAGATATGAAACTCAAACAGTATGTAAGCCCCTGATAAAAAGACTTTCACAGTGCCCAGTGTATAGTACTTTTAAAAACATTGTCTTTAGCATCATTAACTTTCAAGGCCTTGCTGCTGTTACTCTTACAGTGGCATGATATTTGTAAGGACTCCTGGAGATACATCTCAATCTTACTCAGTTTTCATTGGAAATGCTTCTATGGTCATTTGCACTCATGGCCCGTAGTTGGGACCTGAGTTAACCTGTTGAGGAGGCAAGAATATTGTACTTTTTATGCTGCTTTAATTGGTTTAGTGTCATGGAGTTCTTTAAATACTTGCTACTGGCCCAAATGCAGCTCTGACCACTGAAAACATCCCGTGTCTTCCTTTAGACCCGGGAATCTCCTCCAGTTTATCTAAAAAAAGAGTGCCTAACCAATTAGCAACTCCCAATTATTCACATGTAGCTTTTTCTTGGCAAACTTTAAAGCATATCCTCTCATTATCCTATCCTTTAACAGACATTGTAAGCAATTTGATTCTAGAGTTTGCTTGTAAAAGGTAAATCTGATAATCTTAACTTAAGCAAGATAGGATTAATAATTTAATGCACTGCTATAACAAGTATATAAGATGGCTCAAAGTTTAGTGAAATAACCTATTAGTGATTTAATCACTCTTTAAGTATCCTCTGGGTCTCACATTTTGCATTCAGTCAGACATGCTGGTATAAATTAGAAATACATCTAACCCTTTTAAAATATATACTAAGGGTGATAAGAAAAGCACACAAATATTATACCATGATAGAATGTGCCCAATTCAAAGAGTGAAGTAAAGTATTATGGAAGTTTAGAGGAGGAAGATATTATTTCTCTAACAATAAGAGAAGTCAGCACGTGGACTGTGGCATTGCAGGCAGGGTAGGTCTTGGACATGTGGATGTAGGAGCATTCCAGACAAAGAGGGGAATTGGGGTGATTAAATTGGAGCAAAGGCTATGTGAAGTGGAGTGAAAAGAAGCACAAAAGGCAGGTTGAGCACAGGGTGAAGGCCCTTGAATGTCCATCTTAGGAACTTAAAATTCTTTGAAGTCATTTGGGAGTCATTGAAAGTTTTTTAGCATGTTGGTTTTAAGTGGCACAGTAGTGTGCTTATGCATGCTTGAAAACATCTTCAATTGGGGGAATTATCCATGGTCATCAGGGAGGAAAATAGAGGATGGTCTTCAGTATGGAGAAGCTGACAGCAGCAAGAACATCAGGTAGAAATCTAACCTGGTCATTCTTAGGTAGAAACTAATGTGGGTCCAAGATTGGAGTAGGAGAGATGGAAGGTAGGAGGAGGATGTAAGTGAAATAAATCAGATAAATCAATAGGACTTCACAGAAGGTCATAGTGAACCATTCAGTGATAGACCTTAGAGAGATGAGGCCAGAGAGAAGGAGGCAAATGATGAAGTGCCCAGAATACATTGTACAGGAGTAGACATTTTATCCTCAGGCATAGAGCATTACTGAGGACTTTAAATAAGGGAGTGGGACAGATCAAATGTGAACATTATTGAAGCAAAAAGCATAGGAGAAAAAGAAACATAAAAATTAAACTGAAGTTTCAAACCAGGTAATTGGAAGACTGAAGAAGAGAACAGAAAAGGAAGAGTACATTTATATTGGAAGTTATGAGCTTGCTTTGAAGATATTGAAATGACAGTCTAAAATTCATATGTCCAACTTGCAGTTCTTGTGGTTGAAAATGGAGAACAGGTGCTGGGACAAGTCAGAGGTTGAAACAGATTCTTAGAAATCACCTGCACAGGGCTTGTCAACAGTGAGATTATGCTGTATGGAGCAGACATTGCTAGCTTGATGAGAACAAGACTATCTGGCTCACAAGTATGTTTGTGTGTTCTTAAAAACTCAAAAATTTTAAGATTAAGCTAACATTTTAAAAATCAGGAAATTTTACATAAAATATTGTTTTCTGGCTTCTCTTTTAAAAACATCAAAAGGTGTGGTTAATTATGAACTGCATTGCTACATGACAACAGAGGCTGCCCCTGGAGATCCTGGATGCATTCTCACCACAGTCCCCATTCCCATTCACCTCCCTGATATCCCTTGATGTCTATAGAGATAAAAAGTAGATTAATGGTTGCCTGGAGCTGGGGACAAAGGATGGGGTGCCCAGGACAGTGGTTAAAGGATGTGGGATTTCTTTTGGAGCTGATGAAATGTTCTGAAGTTGATTGTGGTGATTGTTGAATGATACTTTGAGTACAGTAAAAGCCAATGAACTGTACATTTCACATGGGTGAATTTTATGATGTGTGAATTATCTCACACATATAAAGCTACTTTTTAAAATGCAAATATAGTTGCTATTGCCCCTGAAGTGTTGATTTTCCTATAGCAGAAAAAAATTGTCTTTATCAAGAAGTGGAAAATGAAAGGTAGACTGTATATTTCAAAAAGAATAGAAGGGAGTACCTCTCTTAATGCTAATACAGACCTTTACATATTAATTGATCAACACCTGGGCTCTTTACTAATGTACATATATTACCTTTACCTTCTTAGCCACTGAAGGCATTTGGTATTAGGGGGAAAAATCTGGTCTCCCAAGCTTCCTGAGGTCCACCACAGCTAAGAAGAGAGGGAGAAAAAGACAGGGCAGGAAAAGAAGTAATCAACATGTAAAAGGAGAAGCAGAGAAGGCTGGTAGAGTGAATGCTCTATCAGCTGCTGACAAGAGGTCAAGGAGGATGGGGACAAAGAAGTCAGGAGGTGACAGTGAACCATTCAGTGATAGACCTTAGAGAGGGAGGCAAATGATGAAGTGCCCAGAATGCATTGTTCAGGAGTAGACATTTTATCCTCAGGCATAGAGCATTACTTAGGATTTTAAATAGGGGAATGGGACAGATCAAATGTGAACCTTATTTGTGTTCACATTAATTTATGCATGTTTTGAATAGTGTCCATGATGATCCAAGGCTACCCCTTATTCTTTCCTATAGTAAATTCTCCTTCAAGCTAAAATCTCCATTTGTTGAGAAATGTTATTGATTTCCATCTTAATTATACCTGGACCTGCTTGAACTAGGAAAGATATATGTGACTGGTATTATCTAACCCAGGGGTTCTCAACCTAGTACTGTTCTATTTGGGGCTGGATAATTCTTTGTCATGGGACTTCCCAGGATGTTTAATGGCTTCAACAGTCTCTACCCTCTAGATGCCCGTAACACTCTCAATTAGACATTTCCAACAAAGTTGCCTCCAGCTAATAGCCACTGAATGGCATTTATCCACTGTAGCATTTGGACCCAGACAATTAAGGCCATGTGCAATTGACAGACTACCCTGAAGGATATCTGGCTTGGAAAAAGGACCAATTCCTATTCCATACTGAGGGGTACATATCAAATGATGCAAGCAGGGGATAAAAATGAGACACTAAGGCCTAGTTTTGTTTTAGATATTTCAGTGGACTTCAGTCTCTCTGCCTTAGTCTCCTTGCTGAAAAGAAATGCTATCTGGAAGATATGAGGCAGGAGAAATGTGCAACATCCATGGCCCCAGGCCAGGATTCCTGCCATGGCCCAAGGGCCAAAGAGGGCAAGAGAGTTCAGAGGAGACCTCAGGAAGCACCAGACATGATAGTGGAGGTTGGCTTCTCGTGGTGGGACTTGGAGAATTTCCCCTGTGGAAGAAGAAGATGGGAAAGAAGTGGAAATGGTTTTCTTCTTGTCATGTCAAGAGTAATCAGTGAAACTAGAGATGGAAGAGAGTCATTTAGTGCAAGTTGGAGTAAATGTGGAACTCAGATGAAGTTTACTTCAGATCCTCTCCCTAAAAGGAAAGTCTTAGAAGTTAAAAGCATGTTTCTCTTGGAATAGGGCTGTCTAAAATAGACTAGAAGTGAAATGTCAAGATCTTCCAGATTCCCCTTCTGGGTGTGTATATGTGTACAGTGGGTAGGAGGGCAAAGGAATTCTATGTGTATATGCTGCCATTTTTTTCTATTTGATAAGAAAAATTAAGTTAAGATTTTTATCAAGCTAAAAAAATTCTAACTATTAAATTAAGACTATTTCATACTGGCTCTTAATGCTTTTCTGCCATGAATGTTGGGGAGCTTGATTGATTATTAGCAATGGCTCCAAGCTTCTTTGCAATGCAACCTCATTGGCATATAACTGCTATTGTTTGGCCCAGTGGTTGTCACTTTCACAGAGGTTGAAGGAAACACATGCTGGTTTTTATTTTCAGTCTCAAGCTTCTTAACCCCGTCCTCCTGTTCTAATTTATTGACTTCTGTGGTTATGAACCAAGCCTCTGAGTACTATCTAAGCAACAAGTACTAATTGGACATTTTTTATGTAAAATACTATTTGAAGAAAGGGCATTCATAAGCATGGTTTTGCCATCTCATTTCAGGCTTTTCTGAATCCAGCTGTGTAATTGCAGCCCTAGGAAACACTTGGAGTCACAGTGTGAACACCAGGCTGATTCTCCAGTCCCTTGATTCAGAGAGAAGACAGGTGAGTTCTTTGTCAGTGTTATCTTCATTGTCAAGGTTAGAAAACAAGATGTACCGAGAAATCAGAGGATCTTCTGAAAGTGATGGCTACTTTGTCCATCCTGGGCCAACACTGGCAAGAGTGCATTGAGAAACCTTGCTTACTCATTGGTAGTTATAGTGAAGTGAGGGCAGTAGTCACATACTGGAAAACAATGTAAGAATAAATCACGGGAAGTTAGCATGTTCCCTGATATTTGCAATAACCAAGAACCACACCTCTAGATAATTTGTCTGTAAATTAAATATTGACTGTGTTTTTAGTGAGATTATCATATATGTGAGATGTGTGTGTGTGTGTGTGTATATGTGTATATATATATATATATATATATATATATATATATATATATATATATATATATATAAAGAGAGAGAGAGAGAGAACTTTAGCCCAAATAGATCCTGCTAAGTGAATGAACTTTTCCCCAGATCCTGGTACTTTTACATTACTACATAAGCCTGTAGTGTAAAGTACTGAATGGTGCCAGAGAGACCTTGGAAAGGATAATGACTTCCTCAGAGCTCCCTATTTACAGTTTCTATCCTGGCCCCAAGTAAGAATCCCCCACTTCCATCCAGAAAGCTATACTGTCTACCCCTTTTTCCATCTTCTCTCGTACTCCAGAGAAAGGAATACCATAGCCTGATGTTTTTCATAATCAGGAAATTCTTTTTCTAATGTCTTACCTTGACTTTATCCTGCTATGTCACCAGATTTAATCACAATCTCTTCTGTATGCAGAAAGAAAAAGGTTGTTTTGAATGGGGCAGAATTCAGAAGCCAGATTTGCCCAACTTGCTAAGTATATGGCAAATTCAGGTTATTAATTAAAGAGTATGAACTATTGCACTGGTGGTCCTTTCTGGACATGGGAGGTAGGGTGTTGTTGCCTTTACCTGCATTAGGTAAATTGGCTCTTTTTCAAGGAGACAGGAATTATGAAAAACAGACATGAGTCTTTGCCTGTTCCAGACATAACTTTATGAATGCCCTGGTTACAGAACAGAGGATTCTAGGTCTTCTTGGGATTGTGTAAATAACATTCCAGCTTGGTGACTAGGTCAGCCCTGTTCTGAGAAGATAGATGGACTTATTTCTGTTCAGGAAGCATTCTTATGTTCTCAGGCCCTGGCATGCTCATTACCTCAATGATACCTTTCCCCCAGTGATTCTGGTATCCTGGGCTCCATCACTTCTCTTCCTAGTGGAACATACCCAAAAATATTCCTGGAGAACCTAATGACCTTTGGTTTGTACCCTAGGTAGTAAATCATGATAAATAAACTTTGTTTGCAGCTATCAGAGATATCACTAAGAACTGTCAAGTATTTCTAAATTGTATTAGAGGAAGCAAAATTCCTTGTGAATCAGTGTTGATTCATTCATTTTCATGAATTTTTTACCCACTTCTTAAAAGCCTATAGTTTATGCCTGTGGGTTTGTTTGTTTATTTTTTCCTCCAAATCTGTTTTAGATTTTATTTGGCACTCTTTCTGTAATACACCCTGAATTTGTGATTTGGTCTCTTATATACAGTATCATGAATTCGAGGCTCCTAGACCCTAGTTTTACTAATTCCAGTTAGAATTTTCAAGTAGATAAAGAAGTTAGAGCCACATTTGTCGTTTCCTTATAATAACTAAAAAATCCAGTCCTTTACATTTTGTCAGTGTCAACAGGAAGTGGCTGGGAGGACAAATGCTATTATTTTGCATTTCTTTGGTAATGGGAGGATTTAGTTGGCTCTTTGCTCTTGGTTGATAAGGTCAAATGCAGGCCACTGGTCACAAGAAGAACTAGGGGCAAAGTGTGGCTGGATCAGTGACAGTCTATCAACTCATATCCTATTAGACGGGTCAGTGATGTTATCTTAATCTATGAAGGACAACTTGTACTATCATTACTAATCAATCAGAGGCAGACTTAAATGCCTTTGAATCATATTTTCAAACAATAATTAACAATTAATGTTAAATATTACCAGTGTAAAAATGACCAAAACAAGCAAAAGGACATACATTTAATTACACTATAGAAATAAGCATGCTTTGGGGAATGAGTTGTTCAATTTGTGACCCAATAACTAGAATGAAATTTGATGTAAAAAACATGTCTCTGCCTGATGGCCTTATCTTGCCTCAGCAGAGAGCAGGCTTAGTGATTCCGTGAGGCTTTCCTGTGGTCTTACTTCATGACCAAGTACTGAAGCCATGTGAAGATATTTCAGTGATATGTACACAAACAATACTTTAAAGCCAGGCTTTCAGGTAATAACACCAAAAAATATTTTCTTATGATTCTACTTACTTGGAAAGTGTGCCTGGTCATTATAGGACAGTCATACCTGTGGGACACCAGCACCTTGGAGAAGATATCAAGTATAATTTTCTGTTTGTTGGAGTTTTTTTAGTCCACAAGTAGAAGCTGCTACACCAAGGGATCAAGGTTATGGAATAAGGATTATGTTTCATCCCGTTTCTATGACATTGAGCTCTACACCAGGGCTCTTCAATGTGAGGCTTAGTCTGGAATCACAGGGCCTGGAAGGAGGTCAGGTCAAGCTGAACAATCTTCAATCTGATTAACCCAAGAGCTGAATTGAAGGGAAGGAGTCCTCCTGGCTGATTTTTTTCTTTACACCCTGGAAACTGTGTAAAATTATATAACTAAAAAGAAGTCTCCTTATCAGGTCACAAGCCAAGTTAATTCTCTTGTTTATCTGCTTCAGTATTTGGGAAAACCCTCTTGAGAAACTGGGAAGCATTTTCTTTTGGATTAATTTAGCCTTTTTTTCCATTGGACTTTCATTTACCATTGTCCTACTCTGCTTCAATCCTGCTCCACCCTTTCTGCAACATTTTTATTCTTATCAAAGACATGTCCTTAGAGTAGCATTAAAGTGGCCTCTACTAGTTTTGTTGTTGTTGTTGTTGTTGCAATTGTTTTAAATAATCAAAAATATATCTGGATCCATGATGTGCATGGCATGGGGATGCCAGGAAGGAGAAGACACAGTTCTGGCCCTCAAATTGCTTCCAGCGTAGGGACGAAGATGATACATATATACAGACTCGTGAACAACCAAATACAGTACAGGAGTTAAAGAACTTAAGGAATATTGAAATATAGTCACAAGGAAGCATTTTATTTTTTATCTAATGAATGGTTAAAAAAAGTACATACTTTGAATCCTAAGGAAGGTGAAACTATCAAAGATACCTTGAGTCTTTCTAGAAGATGGGACCTGAGTATCACCTTAAACCAAGGGAATCTCAAACCTCACTGCATTTCAGACTCATCACAGAAGCATTTATAAAATACTAATACCTGGGCACCACCCTGACCAATGAAATTTAAATTTCTGCCAGGGATGGGGTAGGAGCCCATGCATCAATGTTCATTTTATTTATAAGGCTAGCCTAAGTGATTGCAATGTGCAGCCAAGGTTGAGAACCCCTGCCTTAAATAATAGATGCCCGTAGTTCGTCAGAAAGGGGACATGCTGGGCAGGTGAATAGCCAAAAGAAAATTAGGAAAGTGGACACATCCTCAGGTGGCACAGGCTGGGTTTTACCTTGTAACCAGAGCAAAGGGTTCGAGCACTCATTCACTTGATAAAACTTTATTTAATCCTTTCTTGTCTGCTAGTTCTTGTATAAGATGCTAGAGAATCAAAGGACAAAGAAAGGTAGTTGATAACCTCTGGCTGTTCACAATCTACTTGGGGAAACATAAGCATGTGAACAGTATATGCTCTAAGAGTATCAAGAATTAAGCATAGAGGAGGTAGAGGGCCCTACTATTAAAGAAGGTTCTGGAGTGTTGAAAGAGGCAGCAGCATGGAAAGTGGATTGGCCAAGGCTTGCATTTGGGAAGCTCTCATTGAGCTAGGTACCTTGTGATGAGGGAGGGACTGGGAAAAGCTTATACTTGAAAGAATGATGCAAAACCCTGATGAAATATTCATAATATTTCTCATCAAAATCTCATGAAGTCTGTTCCTACAAACCACATAAGGGATTATATAAATTTTGAAGTACCCTAGAAGGAATAATGAAATAAATTAATCCTGACTAAGCCTCACACCCTCTTGATGAAATAAATATTATAACTCTCCTATTTCAACAAATTGGAAAGAGTTGACTTTTTCATATAGGAGGTTTATTTAAGTGGGTTTTATAATAATATTTTCATCTTCTATTTAGAAGGCACCCTGAAGCTAAAGAACGCTTGGGGGAAATCTGAGCTGTTGAAAGAAGTAGATACACCAGTAAATTACTGATAGGACCAACATTCTTCCTCCATCTCCTGATCCTTACTTGTATCCATGGGCTTTTGTTAAACTCTCAGGTTGTTTTGCATCTTGGAAATATTCAGTTTTTATTTTCTGGTGCTTTGATCCTCTTGGTGTCCATTTGGTATTTTCAAAGACTCAAACACCATCACTATGGATACTTTCCTGACACCCAGTGTTAATCAGCCCCTCTTCCTCAAGTTGCACCTGGTACTTGTCTTTATTCTTAAACATTTAAACCCTGAATTATCAGCCCCTTCAGGTCTATGACTGAATTTTTATTCGTGTACCCTCAGAAGTAAGGATAATGCTTAACACTTATATATTTGATATGCTTATTTGACAGAGAAAAAGAAAGAAATTCCTTGTATCTATATGTAAACCCAGTCTACTTTTCTTTCTTTATGTGTTGGAGGGGTGGTATTGAGGATTGAACTCTGGGGCACTCTACCACTGAGCTATATTCCCAGCTCCTCTTATGTTTTTTATTTTATAGTTGTAGATGGACAGCATATCTTTATTTGTTTAGTTCTTTATGCAGTGCTAAGGATTGAACCCAGTGCCTCACACATGCTAGGCAAGCGCTCTGCCACGGGGCTACAGCCCCAGCTTCTCTTTTATTTTTTTATTTTGAGATAGGGGCTTGCTAACTTGCTCAGGCTCA